CCCTTAATCTGTCAAGCGCGGATTATTCCGCGCATATGACGTCATGGACAAAAATCGTTGTTTACATGAAGTAGAGTTCTCCCAGGTCGGCTATAAGCCTCGTTTTCATGTCTAAGGCTGTTTACGAACCTGCTGAAATTTTTTCACGAACTGGACTGTATTATTTCTCTTGAATTTGGTGTTTTTTCTTCAAGCCTTCGATTTAAATGTCCTGAAGGGTATTTAAAGATGGCGTAGGTAAAATTAGCTTTGCGTTTGAAGCCATAATTCAGTCATTTTTCGCTCAAATTTGGTAAAACTTTCTAAGAGCGATTTCAACATGGCGGCAAGACAAGCAAGAACATATACAGCAGAGGAAGTTGCTAGGATTGTCATGGATGTTCCCGAGGATAGCGATGTCTCTGACTTCGAGGGGGAAGAAGGAGATCAAGAAAGCAATATGGACGGGTCTAATACAGACTCTGACGAATCATACAATTCTGCGAGTGAAATAGAACATGAAGCTATTCCACCTTTGGAATCGGATGATAGTGAGAGTGATTTTCAGCGAAATGAAACAACAAATTCCACTAGAAGACGATCGAGTAGGGGAAGACCACGTGGCAGAGGAGCACGCGGAACTGCTGCACGAGGGGCAAGATCACGATCCCCTGCAAACCGACGTGATGAAGACAATTCAGCTATAAGGTGGGGAAATCGTGATGAGAATGTTGTTGTTTCATTTCCTGAATACAGGGGGCAGCACGGCCCTATTACTCTTCTGGAAGCTGACTCTGAGCCAGTAAATTTTTTTAGTCTTTTATTCCCTGAAGAACTCTGGGATATTTTAGTAGAACAAACAAATCTGTATGTTGCCCAGAAACAAAGAAAAACTTGGCTCTGTGACACAAATAAAGATGAGATGAAAGCATTTGTTGGTGCCCTTTATTTCATGGCTTTACACAGACTGCCCAATTTTGATCATTACTTTTCTCGGGATTGGGTATTTGCTGTTCCTGCAATGCAAAGTGTTTTTACCAGGAACCGATTCTGGCAACTGTGGCAGAATTTTCATTTGGCTGACAACACAAGGCAGCCTGCTCCTACTGATGATGCCTATGATAAGCTCTACAAGTTAAGGCCCATGATCAATGGAATGAAAGAAAAATTCGAGCATTCATACAATATTGGCCAGAAAGTTTGTGTTGATGAGCACATGGTAAAGGGAAAAGGGAGAAATCCTTTCAAACAGTACCTTCCCATGAAACCAATCAAAAGAGGTACAAAAATCTGGGAATTGGCTTGTTCGTGTTGTGGATACCTTTATGATTTCCAGGTGTACACAGGGAAATCTGGTGGAAATGCTGAAAAAGGTCTAGCACATCGGGTTGTTACTGACCTAGTTGCGCAACTTCAGGACAGAGGAACTGTATTGTACATTGACAATTTCTTTACCAGCATTCCCCTTTTGCAAGAGTTGAGTGAGCTATCAATCAGTGTTGTGGGAACAATAAGAAATAATCGAAAAAATTACCCAAAGGCTTTGCAGGGTAAAAACTTACTAAAACAAATGAAGCGTGGTGAATTTCATACTGTGGCATCTGAAACAACAGTTTGCACAGTGTGGAAAGATACCAAACATGTTTCTTTTTTATCAAATGTGCACTCTTCTCATGGCAATTGCACAATCACCAGAAAACTGAGAAGAGGTGAACAGGTAAATTTGCCCTGCCCGCCATGTGCAGTTGACTACAATAAGAACATGGGTGCTGTCGATCGACATGATCAAATGGTGCGCAATTATGCTATTGATCGCAAGTCCAGGAGATGGTGGGTGAGAATGTTTGTTAACTTTTTGGATGCAATTATGGTCAATGCATACATTGTGTACAAGGAAAATTTCCGAATTATGAACATGCCACCTCCACAAAAACCCCCAAAGCCATTGTCCCATGACAAATTTATGGCTGGTGTCATCCACAAGCTGATTGGAAATTTTTCTTGCCGACGTCAGCCTGGCCCAGCACCAGCCATGCCTCCCCCTCCATTTCATGGAAGGGACCATGATTCTGTCAATCTTGCTGACCTGGGGCTCCTGAAGTTTGGAAGATGTCACCACTGTTGCATTGGAGTGAAAGGAGCAAAGCGAAAGGAAACTGGCTTTGGCTGCAGATCTTGCATGAAACGTTTATGCCGTTCTGGTTGTCATGAAGAATACCACAGGCAGAACAATATCTTCTAAATATTGTCTAGAAGTACATTTTTGAAGAAACTTGTAAGATTTGTATTTTCCTTGCAAATTTCTGGTGTTTTCTGGTAATTTGTTTTGAAAAAGTAAGAAAATTTCCATAATTTATGCAAATGTATGGAATAAATAAGCATAATTTATGTAGAAAACGAGCATATCCTAGTCCATCCGATAGCACATTTTATTAGCTTTATTATGATATGTAATAAGTCATGATTGGTTAAAATCTCGAATTTTAATGATTTTTTTCTTAAAATACTCTTGAAATTTCTATAATTATTCAAAAAATTCTGACAGATTAAGGGTTAAATTTGTTTCGCCTCTTTCAGCATATGATATACTTTTTTGGAAGAGATCAAGCCCCTGTGCCTGATGTATTTGTGCTGAAAGGGTATTATTATCTCCCTGAAAGGGTATTATACCTTCTAACTTTTATAATCAATTTCTGTACCAGTTAACTTCTTTATAAATAACTCAAAACAGTCCTCGTCTGAAACATAAAGAAGCCAAAGTTGTTGTTTATCCTTTTATGTATGTGTGGTAAAGATAAAATGCTACAAAAAACTATTTTTTTTCAGTGCAGTATTCACCAGCGAGGTCTCTACGCCCTACAAATTCATGGCTAAGTGCCTCATATAAAATTATATATAACGAAGTTGCTTCGTCACATTTTTTTCGTTTCCCCTTTTTCAACATTTGGTAACTCTTTTGGGAAAGATGTTTATGTACCTCCTCTAATTCGTCAAGCTCTTCATCTTCAAATCCCAAACGACACCCAAGTGGTCTCCAATCAGACCCAATCTTTTTGCCCAACTTCTCTAAAACATCATCAGGTGGTACACCATCTTTAAAGTTGACTGACAAGGCAAAATAAGAGTAATTAGCTCTAAAATACCAACTCAAGAGCATAACCACACTCTGCTCAGGATTGGGTAGCATCCCTCACATTGCCAGCTTTCTAATTTAGAAAGTCACCCATGAGCTTTTTGTCAATTAGTAGTGAAAGAAAAAAATTGGATGCCAAAATTAATGTTTTGAGTTTCTTCTGAATCCTTCTTCTCTCAAGGGTTGGTCTTATTGTGGGTCATATAGTATAATTGGACATGTAATTAAGTTGATGAACTCTACCTCACCTGATGGATGGGTAGATGAGCTGTGCGCAGAAGAAATGTTCTTGATCTTAGTGACCTCCTTGTCCACTATTCAAGGGTTGAAACGAAAACAACAATATCGTTATTTTTAATGTAGACACATTTTCAATTGTGCACAAGTTGATTAAATGATGCAAGTCATTAAATTCTTGGTTGAAATTTGTTCCCTACAAGCCATCAGTGATGCAAAATACTGTACCCAAGAACCTAGCAAATTTATAAGCCTTATCGCTTGTGATGTTTCTTTAATGCTGAAATAAAAATTTTGTTTGTTTTTGACTGTCCTCACATTTCGTTGCCAATAATTTGATAAAATAGCATTACGAACCAAATAAATACAATTTTTTCCGATAGAATAGATCAAATATCTCACAGTAAAAGTTTGAGGGAATTTTGTGATTGGATGAAATCAAGTGGTCAGTTCTTACGCGGACAGCCTCTTTAATTATGTTGAGTGTTGAAGATGTGCTGTGTGCCCTTCCATTGTAGCGCAGTTTTACTAGTGTCAACAATCATGAATTTCAATGGATTCACATGGGTGAAATTGAAAAAAGAGCAACTTCTCCACAGACCGATTGATTATTTGGTCGATTTTATTTCAAGCTTTCTTCATTTTAAAGATTCTTGCTTTTGAAGATTCCTCATTTTAAAGCTCTCCCATTCCCCATTCCCCTTCTCTTTTTTAATGTAGCTGTCCATTACTCGATGATACCAATTATGAACTTAGAAGCAACGACTCGTGGAATGTTTCTAGTCTATTTCGTTTAAAATTGCATAATTTTCCCTCAAATTACAAATCACAAATCACATCGTTCCATAAACTCAAGACTTTCTTACGATCAAGTTTTTTTCAAGTGTTATTTTAAAAACCCTTGCTCCCTGCTACTGCCAAATGAACCGTAAACCGATAAGATGACGTGAATGTTTAAGCCAGTCTCTCATGATAAAATGGCAGATTGTCTAATACACTGCATGCAGACATACCTTAATTAGAACTGTTTCAATATTTTTCCCATTTGTTCTTTTTTTGTGTGTATTTCCATCATTGCCAATTAAGAAAACAAGCAGACTAAGGAATTGATAAAAATGACCATTTTTATCTGAATATCTAGATTAGAAATAAAAGTCAGAAAAAGAGAGCTTAGTTTGGCCAATTTATACTGATTTATGAATGCTCTGATCCTAATTATCCTATTCTTATTTTAAAATTCATCATCACTGTTTTAGGATTGTTGCACTAATTCCCGGAAAAATTACAATACAATTAAATCACCCATTAAAATCTGGTTGACCTTTTCGCTATTCTTCTAATTAACAAAGCTATTGCAAGTTAAGGTTGTTTAGTTTGTTTGTTAAATACTTACTCGTTTTCATGATTGCTACAGATTCAGTTACTTATAATAACTGTTTGGTTAAGATTTGATTAAGTCAACTATTGAACTTTCTTACCACTTGGAATCAATTTGATAGATTCTTCACCTTTCTCACAAGGAGAGTGGCCCTGTTTGGGAATAGCTCCTTGTCTCTTCTTTGCTTCTGGTCCATCTTCATTTTGTCTCCCCTCCTCTACATCAGTAACTAATTGAGGATTATAAAAATAATAATAATCAAATGTACTGCATCTAAATTGACTAAACCAGTTTGGCATACGAAATCTATATAAAATTCAAACTATAAATATAGCCACCAAATAAACAAGTGGTTCACTTAATAAATACCTCCTAAAACACACTAAACCTTACCAGTGAAAAGGACAGTCTTCTCACTGGCTCTTTATATCAAGCAGGGGTTTCATTAATGTTTTCTGCAGGAGGGCAACTTATTTTCACAGGCAGGCAAAACTCTTTGAACTGAACTTCTTTATAAGATAAACTTTCCTCCAGACCGTCAAATCAGGTGGGCAAAACCGTCTTCACAACCGGTCAATTTGCCCGGTGCCTGGCCCTTAATGAAACCCCTGATCAAGGTTGGAAGTAAAAATCATCTCATGCAAACGAATTCAAATTTAGGCTCTTATGGTGAAGCTAAAATTTCTAGCAGAATAATCAGTTATTTTTATCTTTTAATTAAAGAGGTTGTTGTGGTATCGAGTCTGGATGGATGAGCTTCAACAACATTCAATGCAGTAAAAACAACAACTTCTTTATTCCAGCCAGTCCATTCTGCACAAGACACCAATGCAAATTAGTGCATGTATAAAACCGCATATAAACTATGACAGAGATGTTTAAAGGAGAGGAAAAAAGTTCACTTCAGCAAGCTGACGGCTCAAGAGAAAAGGTTACAGTTTCCAATCTTGCCTTTGACAGTCAAATGCAGCACTTGGGTGGGGCATTTGAACACAATCCTGGCCCTGGCAGGCAGAAATTTGAACAAACTGATCTTCAAAAGTTTAAGTGGCTGGGGTGGGGGGATGGTTTCCCAGATAATATGGATTGCCCATGATGACATAGAGTTTGCCCTACAAAATGATGAATAATAAATTATTCTGCTAATCACTTCATTCTGAAAATATTGTCTGAAGTGACTGATATACACCATGGAACAGATGTATGGTTGACAAATAACAGTAAACAACATCCACAAATTTCCAAAGAATGTAAAGTTACAAGGTTCCATCATTCTTAAATTAAGTCACCTTTTTGTCCCTTTCCAGATTTGTAAGAAGAATCTACATTTGATGTACACTGGTCTGGATCGTTGGCAGGGTCTGTCAGAAAATGAAAATTAACCCTATTAGAGCATTCCCAAACAAAATACTGACATTATATTGTCCAGGACTTGTGTTCTTCAAAAGTCAAACAATTCTGAAAAATATTGGAATATTTGATAAAAGATTTTGAGCCTGCTCCATATAAAAGGGATGCAGACTGTTGAAAACACTAAAGGCAAATATTTAAAAAATAAGGCAAGTGAGTAATTACCAGCCACTTGCTTTGGAGCTGAATGCCTTTTGCCTTGGGATTCCTGTCGCATTTCCTCATAATGTCCTGTCAGACGTGAACAATAAACAAATAACACAAATCACACTTACACTGTAGACAAAATCAAAGTATCACTTGAACTGTCATTCATCCAAAAAAAATTTGGTGCACTTTCATTCATCCTACATCATTACATTTAAACTTAAATGGTTACACCTGTAGTAATAGAGTAATACCCCAAACATGTTTCAAAGCTGTTTTGTTTAACATGGTTTAAAATTTTTTTCTTCAAAGATGCTGCACTTTTTAGATATAAAACCATATAAAAGTTTTAGATATAAACCCATGTAAAATTATTATTATTTTTTTTTAGTTCTCTCTTTCTGATCTTCAATCAGTTAAACCTGGTTTAACTAAACAAATTTTGCAGGTGTGAAAGGAGTATAAGCTTTTAAATGGTGATTTATATTCTTTGGAAAGGTTTTTTAGCAAGCCTGTCAATCTCAATTTCTATGTATATTTTAATGATTGGTGCACTTGAGCACATGAAAATCAATACATCTTTGCATAAAAACATACACTGTGCTGAAATCCCAGCAACATAATCGCATAGATTCAAAACAACCCGTAATATCTATCTAACTTTTAGAGGTCACTCTTGCACAACCACATCAGCTCCACTGTAATTTTTATCATGTGTAAATAACTGCTGTTGTTGTTATTGCTGTCCTACAGTAATTTATGTCACCCTATTTCAAAATGAGAAACAGTTTTGGGTCTAAAAGCAACTCAAACAAGTGAAAAGGTTTATACACTAGAACAAACTTCAATTTTGAGGTCTTATTCTATGCCACTACACCTAAGACGTCTAAAAGCAAAGAGAGACAGGGTTTGAAGTGAAGAATATTTCTCCAAAGATATTGTTGGCCAACTGTACAGGCCAACTGTTGACCAACAGTTTTTGTTATGTTTCAGGGCAAAGTTTTGGCCTACTGTCGGCCGACAGTTGGCAACCTGTGTAGTAACCTGTTGGTGTGTTGTAAACTGAAACAATCACAAACATTTCCTTATCTATTGCTACTAAAACTACATAAAAAGGGGAAAAGCCATTTAAAAAAGATACGTTGCACTTAACTGTCAGTAGCTAACACAGCTCTTGCCCACTTTTTTGCATTGGCTAGTGAAACTTGTCCAGATTGGTTCGATTTTATTTATCTGTCATAATGAAAAGTTGTACTAGTTCTGAATCCCCTGGTACAATGCATTAAAGAACAATTGACAAACTACATTCCCACCAACAGGTTACTACACAGGTTGCCAACTGTCGGCTGACAGTAGCCCAAAACTTTGCCCTGAAACATAACAAAAACTGTTGGTCAACAGTTGTTAAAATGTTAAAAGTTTCAAAGATCTTGGAGTTATAATATCAAAAGATCTATCCTGGAGTGAACATATCAGTACCTTGGTGAACAAGGCCAATCAGGTCCTATAGGGCTTATAAAATGGTGTGTTGGCACAGCTAATACAAGAACCTTTTCACTGCTTTACATATCATTGGTTAGACCTCTTTTAGAGTATGCTGTACCAGTCTGGAATCCTTACCTGGTCAAAGATATCCATACAATTAAAATCGTGCAAAGACGTCCGTCAAGATTAGCTCTAAGGCAGAAAAGAGGCGATATGCCCTACGTGGACCAATGTAACAAATTAAATTGGCCATTGTTGTCCACTCGTAGAACATATTTCTCACTAGTGGAAAGCTACAAGATTGTGTTTGGTTTGTCCATCTTGATTTTGAGGAATATTTTGAATTCGCAAAAGTCAATTCCACTAGAGCTAACCAATCATATACACTTTTTTTAAAATCAACCAAAATCAACTGTTTTAAACATTTATTTTTTGTTAGAGTGATTAGAAATTGGAACAGTTTAGCCAAGAACATTGCTGAAGCGGGAAACCTTGTACTTTTTAAATTAAGACTTAAATCATTTTTAAAACTATGAGTTACTAATTTTTTTTTATATAATGATTTAAATTTTTACTCTGTACATAGTTATATACATATATATATATATAGTTAATTTTTTTTTCTTTTTTTGTCAGGGATGTTTTATTATAGGGTTAACCTCTAAACTTCCCTTTTCAAATTTTGTATAGATAAATTTGAATAAACATGTATGTTTGTATGTATGTAATTATGTACTTTTTCCCACTTTGTGTACAAACAAAGATATAAGTAATAGGTACTGAATTCACCGCTAAGTCTTGGTATGTACAGTCTGGAGATGGGTTGAACGAGCCCATTTTCCATTAAAATTTATCACTAAAACAGAATCAAGCAGCTAAGTGCAAATGGTGCGATTGGCAGATTTCTATTTACCGTTTTCAACTAGAAAAGTTTTGACTCTGTTTTCTGACAATTTTGGTCTACTTAACACTGTTGGCTGACTGTCAGTAATGAGTGGGTAACATGTTGGCTGACAGGTTAACAACAGCCAAAAATGGGAACCATTGTTAACATTACTGAGATATGCATGTGACTGAAATTGTCCATGGAAACAAGTGTAAGCATGGGCTATAGTCTTGCAAAACATTATAGAAGAAAAACATTTTTTTTCATTAAGTTCAGAAAAGAGCAGGAACTTTGGAAACACCCTGTGCGTATTAAAATCTAGTTCTTTATTAAAATGAAATGAAATTCATTAAGGGAAAAATAAAAGGAAAGTTTTCTTCTCACCAAACCCACTGTCACTCTCCTCATCTTCCTCCTCATTGTTACCATCATCGTCCTCAAAGTTATGTATCACTTTTCTTGATTTCCTCAGTCTCTGCTTACTCTTTATCCTATGTGAATGTCTCTTTCTCCTTTTCTTACCACTTGTCTCCTCTACTGACTCTTCTTCACTCTCTTCTGAAGAGGAGGATGATGACGATGATGACGATGCTGATGCTGATGACAAAAGTTCACCTCCTATTCCTTCCCTATCTTTCTCATCAGGTTCAGAAGGAAAAACTATGAATTGAAAATAAGGGAAATCCAAAGAGTTACAGTGAACTTAATTTTGAAAATCAGGGTCATGTTGCACAAAACAAAGAAAGCAATTACTTTTTTTAACTATCATGATATTAACCATACATCAGTTAAAGAAACAGATGCCCTGCCTACATAACATGCAATTGCAGAGCACAAGATACCTGTACTCAGCCCATCAGGGCTCAACACTAACTTTTCAACTTACCAGCTAAGTGGCTAGTGGGATCTTCAATGTTTTTGGATGTTATGACAATTTCAGTCTGTTTACAAGCCAAACTGGCTAGTGGAAACTGAAAACCACTAGCCAAAACTGAATTTCTACTAGTCTGTGGCTAGTGGGCTACTGTTAATGTCGCACCCTGGCCCATAGTAAAATTATAAACTGTCAGACCACAGAAAAGAGTGCTTAGCATTCATTAATTTATAGTGATATCTCTTAGGAGCTTGTTGGGTGCAAAAACAAGTCCAAAAATGAAGAAAAGAAGTTTGAATAGTCACTCAATTTGTTAAATTTTGTATCATAATACTATCAGGAGAACATATTTTCCAAATTAAAAACAATGCTGTTAAATCTGAAGTATTTGTTAAAATTCTCTTAGTGATACTGAAATGTTCATGGCATGTGAAATAAATCCTTGGAATCTAACCTTCTCGAAGATCTGCTTTGATAAAGGCCAATGCTAGATAGAAAATAATCTTGTCAACTGCCTGTTTAAGCATTGGAGGTGGATCTTCAGGTCCAAGGGTGTTGTTCACACCAAGAAGGATTCCCATGTTGTCTTTACGTCCACACCGGTAAATCTTAGACAGAAGAGTTCCATCTAGACTTACAGCATGAATGCCTCTCTTTGTCATCCTCTTCTCAATTGATCTCCCAATTTCTTCCCTCTTTTCGATACAAATGTTTCTCAATTTGTCTTGGTTTGATGCTGAAGTAAATGCTACTTTAAGATGCTTGGAGGGGTCAAAGGTGGGAACAATCCTGTACTCTGAAGCTGCAGAAGAAAAATCAGGATCCTTCATGACATTTCTGCTCCACCAATCATAGCAAGATGGAAAGCCATGTGCAGTAAACTGTGCCTTGCCCTGACAAAAACTTATCTGATGTTGAGGCGTTTGAAGTTTTCCCTTTTTAAAAGAAAACTCCTCAGCTCCTTGCACAGTATATAGGTTGCCTTGCTTGCAAAATGAATCATCCTTACTGCGAGTTGCACCAGGCAAAAAGATAACCATGAAATGGTTACAATAATGTGCACCAATAGCTCTAAATAATCCTGAGATTGAGCTGTCATCTGTTCCTAAAAGAGAGAATATAATTTCTGTTACTTAATTTCACTTTTTATTGGTAGTAATATAATGCTTAGTACACCTCTAGTTTTCTACTTTTCCATATGAAGTTATCTGAAAGCAATCTGAGGGGTCAAAGTTTTCCCAAAAACTCACTTTATTCAACCATTTTCAGGAAAGTGCCGAGAAGCATACCACAGTAGTGCTCAAAGGCCTTCACTGAGCCTTCTCTGCATACTGTTCCAGCCGTCTAGACTAATACCAAAAGTCATTTTGACAGGGCTAAAAAGAAGTGTTTTCACAATACAAACAAAATTACCTTGAAGATAAGAAAAGCATACAACTACATTTCCACCACTGCATTTCACCACTGAATGGCTCGGTGTGATCATTCCTCTTCCCTGACTCTTAACATGTTTCAGAACCCTCATCATGTCCGGTTCAAGAGCTTGCGATAATAATTTAAATACACTCTCGTCCGGGAAAATAATGGCATAATCCACACCTTGTCGCAGACTGGCGTCCCTCATGCATTTGAAGTAGTCCTCATGAACTTCCACATCATCAATAAACTCACTGAGGAATTCTTCTGCTGATATTAACCTGTCGTCTTTCTTCCAGTTACGTCCTATGTCCTAAAGACATAATGGTACAGGATTTCCTTGATGGAATATGTACTGACAAGGGACCAGAACTATTGGAGATCCATTGCATTCCAAAAGAGTGTACTGTTTGCTCAATTTTTCTTCACCATAAAGCTTTTTAAGCCTTTTCTTAAGTCCATCTTGAATCTCAGAATTCAAATTTTGAGTGGCCTCTTTGAGGATATCCAATGCAGATTTCTGCACAGTTTTGATAATATCATGAGGATTCCTTTTGTTAGCCTCATGGAATTTGAACATTTCTTCCACTTTCCTCTGACTAAAGTTTAGAAGGAAAGGGAATATCCAAAATAACAAGAAGTCTGATATTTTGTTGAGACCAATCGTCCCTTCATGTTCACTTAGATTCAAGGTGTTAGTGACTGACTTTTTTTTTAGACTCTTAGAATTCATTGCCAAGATGGCGAAGCATAAAATCTGAGACCCTTTCATAGGAATACGAAGACCGCTATCACTTGGATAGACAGTGTCATCATACAAGTCAAAGTCTTTAGCTCCCCTCCTTGTTTGAGAAGCAGAATCTCTGCTTTCTGTTTGTTGCTCATCTAAATATTTTTTCAGGTTTGATAAAGATAAATACCCAAAAAAGTTTTTGCATCTTTTTCATTAATTGCCAATCTTCCCTCTTTGTTACTTGATTTCTTTCCAATGCATAGCTTGGTCAGTTCTGGGACTTGAAAATAGGTAAGATCCTTTTTGTCTAAAATTTCTTTAGTCACAAGACTTAAAACTTTTTCTGCACCCATATCTTTCCATCCTCCATGTCGTAGTAGAGAGTCATTCAGGAGCTGCAGAGGAGATATAAATCCCACAGTTTCAGTTTCATCTTTACAGTATTGGTACAATGGAAAAAGCCCATACTTTTCCCTTAATATTTTCTCTGGAATATCAGTCAATTCTGATAAAGGAGACGTGTGTGCACTTACAAGTGGCAGGAGCACAATCTTCATATATTTCACAGATCTTCTATGGGGGAGGAAAAGTACTTTAGAGAGCATATCATCAAACAGTCTGTCTGCTATTCTTCCATGAAGTTAATATTTCAATGGGAGGGGTTTCATACAAAGTTATTGTACAGCCAACAGTTTGGTTAGATGTTTTGTTTTGCTCAAGTTTACCAAATTTTCAGTGTGGGACATTCAAATAAAGTTCAAATTGATTGCATAAAGGATAATTACTTGTGGTTCAGTAATGGCTTGTTACTTTGGTTGTGCTCACAAATATGTGGGCTACTGCTGAGTAGCCTACATTTTGACTTACAGTGCTGAGCTACATTTATATTTATTTAATAGTTCACCTGAGAAAAAAATGACTCATTTTAAGGAAAGTCCCTAAGAGGGAGGCTGACTTGGCACCTCAAAGTTCAATGTTCAATCCACACTCAAAACCAATTTTATCTCAAATAAAATAAGTCATATGAACTTCCACGACTCATCACACTGAAAACAATGTAGTGAAGGTTGGGTATAACATCAATTGACCCTCCAAATAGAGGTGATACAGGCATTGTAATTTCTCTAATCATGTAATTTAGTGACATTCAAGATTCCAGCAGTTACATACCACAGCTACACATAAGGCTCATTTCAGAAACAGTTGTTGATTTGTACTTTGTTTATAGCTCTATACAAAATAATCTTCTATTTCTAAATCCATGCAACTGAAATAGATCTGCATCTATTTACCTTAAGATATTTAAAGAATACATTCCCTCCCCATGGCATCATTAACTTTTCAGTCCCAAGTACATTTATTTGGGAAAGGTGCTCCTTCAGGGGTTGCACTTGTTCAAGTAAATAAGTTACAGGTATGTGTCAGTTGCCACACTCTTTAAAGGGAAAAAAATGCATTTACCATTTGCTTGACAATCTCCTTAGCTTCAAGATGTGCAGCCATTTCCTATTTTTGATAATCACAAGAAGATGAAATCCTTTTCACAAGCTAGGATTAGTCAAAAGGAGAACTTGACTTCTGCAAACCAAAACAGACATTCTGAATTTTTGAAATATAAAGAGGTGAGGTTTTGGGTTAAGAAAGTGGGGCTCTACTGTATCACTGTAATGCAAATATACTTTATGTTGCAGTTGACGACATCAAAATGAGATGAGGACATTGGCTCACAAGGTCAGACGAGTGTGTCACTGGTGTTAATACATCATTTTGATGCCATCTTGGATCTATCATTTTCAAATTCATTAATAATTCATGAGAGCAACAGCCAATAAACGAGGCATATTTGGGTCACATGTATGAACCTTGATACCTAACAAACACTCAGAGGAAAATCTTAAGGGTTTTGATCTGAGATGAAACATGGTTTTGATCTCAGAGCAAACACTTGTATTTTAATGAGCATTTTTCAATGATTAATACATCATGAACAACAGTATTCCAAACATGACTTGAATATTATTTCATAAGCAGTCTTCGGTAGATATATCTCCCCCAACTTTTTGGCCACCTTCATCACAAAATTGTTCAGCCAGTAATATAAGATTACTTCACCCAGTTCTTCAATGCTGGTAGAAAGCTGTGGGACCTTGAGTCAGTCATAACCAGCCAGGAAGTTTGCCATTTGCCAAAAATTATTACCAACCCTTTGTTACTTACATTTGGTATACAAGGGAATAGCTCTTTCAGCTAACTTGCATTCTTTGTAAACTGTTTTTGGCTTCCTAAATCTTGCCGCATCATCTTCACTCATGGTCATACACTAACTACACCAAAATCATTAATCATGCATGCATGTCTAACATAATGTTACAGAAAATGGCAAAAATGTATCATTGCATATTTTTTCATTGTTTCATTTGAGAAGTTAGCTCAAAAACTTGTGCTTCATGTGTCAGCAGGGGTTCTAAACACCTCAACACAATAAAAGCACTCAGCCTGTAGCCTCACACTTTTATCTGTTTCTTGGTGAAACACTCACACTTATTTTTGACATATTACTTGAAAAGATGCACAGCAAATTGGGATCTATCTGTGTTATATCATTAAGAAGCCAATTGTTGTTAATAGTGATGTCAGTTATCACTTCTCCGGAAAATTATAGGCAAGAACCACTCAAAATGAGTGTATAATTTATTTTATTATTAAATAGATTTTGAAATTACTGGTGATCCTTCTAAACTGATTGGCTCTGATAGGTACAATTTATTCACAAATCACAACATAACTGGCTCCTGATCGCATCTTTTTCCCAGCCAGTGAGGTTTTAGAGAAACCAATCAATCATTAATTCTAGAGTTTAATTAAGGAAAGCCTTAGACGATTATTACTTGTAATTGTTGACCGATTTCAAACAACATCGTCCCACATCTTTTTGTAACCATGCAGTATTAGAAAGCGTGTTTTCCTTTCGTCATGGTTAAACTTTAAGCATCGTCATTGCATGCAGGTTGGATAGCTCCGTATACACTAACTATGCTATCGTTAGCCTCTTCTCTCAGTAAGCATATAACAAAATCGATCACCCATCGTAACAGTCGACGAGGCTGCCAAAAATATCTCATAATTTCAAGCCATACCAGACGATTTTTCTTACCTTGGCCTCGCTAAATGGTGAAGCTTGGTTCCGTTCGTTGACCCAGTACGATATCCAGCTCAAAAAAGGCGGCAAAAATTTTGTAGTCTATGTATGGGGAGACATAATGTCCTCGATAACGTTAATAGGTACGTCATGTATGGGTATATATATTCTCCTCAAAAGATTCAAATTTCCTTCACCCTTTGACTAATATACAATGTCAATATAGACCGTTTTCACTCACGTGACCAAATTTCTTTATCGTCATGGTAACCGACTTCATCCGCCATGTTGGTGTTCCATGATAATCAGCTCTGAGTATTGTGACAGGAAACATTTGGAGCACATTTTACGGTTTTGAGAAGACAATCGTGTAATATTTATATTTTCGTTATCACAGTCCTTTGCCTTGTCATTAGCTGTGG